TGGCTGCAATATAACAAAGAGTGAAAAATTGAAGGGGGTCTGAATACTTTCCGTACCCACTGTATTACTGGTTTTCTATTAATAATGGGTTGTCATTTCTCGTGTCCCACCTTGTAGAAACAGTGATTTAGAACCTAAATATAGTTTGTATTTACACACTAAAACCTCATATAACGGATACCAGGAACAAATCTGAAGTACATCTGTGAGCTGTGGCATGTGTTTTAGGTTAAGATATGTTGAAAAAGCACCGATCATAACAAGCTGCTGTTTCATTCTAAATGTGCACTAAACTGGTGTTGAGATGACATCAAGACTTTAAATATTTTGCCACTACTGAAATGTCAAGTTCCTTCTTGCTGAAGTCTAAAGAAACATGACAGGATTATATATATATATATAATATATATATAATATATATGTGTGTAAAATATTTTGTCTTATTATTCTGTTACAGTGATTGTCAATTTTGTTGACATTTCTATTTATTGTTTCAGTTGCCAAGGCAAAATTCAGTGGAAAAAAAATGTAAAAAAACCCAGAAAATATTAAAATAAAGCTTAATTCAAAATATTAATAAATGCTTTAGTATATAATACTAAATACATCTGGAAACACTTCTCATTTCTGTATAATGTGAATATTAATAAATGCTTCAGTAGTACATACACTCTAAAAAACCTATTTTACCCAGCACGGGGTTGTATTTAACCCAGCATTTTTTAGAGTGTAATACTAAAATAACAGAATATATCTGGAAACACTTCAACTTATTTTATTTTTTTTTCTTGATAAAATCAAACTAAATGAATTGCTAAAATGAATCAAACTTTCCAAAACCAGTTAACAGTGAAAACATTAGAAGAGTTGAGATTTGATTTCTATATAAGGCATATATATATATATATATATATAAATAAAAGACCTGTTGTTGTTATTACTATTATTAAATCTACATTTCGGATTCAGATTGTGGCTTATCAACATGAATGCAGGCATATTAAATATTTAATTCCATTAAATAGACTCCTTGAGATATTGAGATACTGCATTACTTCCAAAAAAATGTGAATACCAGCATAACTCTCCAATGAAAGTTGTTCTGCATCATCCAAAGACAAACAGCATGTATATGAATAGCAAACCCATCCAAACCACGGACGCAGAGCTATATTAAAACAACATTCCCACAACCTTGAGGGAAACGTAAATGCAGACATTAAGAGCGCAATTTGCGGGCCTAGGCAAACAGGAAGGACAGCCTTAAATCTTGAGGGCGTCTTCCAACTGTCAGGGGGCTCGGTGTGTCGTAACGGGATGAACGAGGACAGGGATAGACGCAAATGAGCCAGGAACGAAAGGCTGGCGCGGTGCCAGACTGAACTCGCTGACTCTCCTCGAGCTCCCCTAAAATTGAGGCCAACGTAGCGGCGTCAAGCCAAACTAAGTACTGTGATCCCGGCTGAGGATTTCACACATGACATTTCCCTTCCATGCATCTTCCACTCAAGAGTTTAGTATTTGTGGGGGTTTATAAAACACGAGGGTTTCGAGTACAAGATAAGGCACAAAAAGCCACTGGGGTAAGTAGTGCACACGGTGTGAGATTTAGGAACAGATATATAGTCCTATTTATCCAGATAAACGGTCCAAATAAGGGAAATATTACAGCTTGATTAATAACAAAACCTGTGCTGCCATCTAGCGGCCATTGGTTGAACTGAGGCATCTTTACACTGCCAAGTTAAAATTCAGTGTAAAGATGCAATGCTGCATTAAGGCAAGGCTAAATCATGCCTGCTCGAACCCACCTCAGCCCCTAGCATCTCACTATTGTATAAAGGTGCAATTGCTATGTAAATGCATTTATGCCACCTCTGAGCAGCATTAAACAGTTTGTGTAATGACACCAAAATGCCCTTTCAGAAGTGCTTCTGTGCCACCTTTGCAGTATAAATTTGGTGTGGTGATGCATTCGTTAACAGCTAAAAGAGCATGAGGTAAAGAAACATCATTAGAACACACAAGACGCAAAACATGGGAATAAAACGCAAGTTTTCCCAAGAGTTTTATTGAAATACCAAGATAAATTTCAGTCTCAGTCCCTTGCTGCTTCAAAAAGCGCGCTTTGGGTTTTAGCATTGACATCTCAAAGCCTTCCTCCCAAAGCTCCTCCCACTCCCTTTATTTTTCTTTTGCTAAAACAGCAACATGTTTCATCCGATGCAAACCTATACAACAGGTCATTTGGCACATTTCCCCCCAGTTGTCTCATCATTTTTCAAAGTATCGTAGCAGTTTCAAATCCAAACAAATATCAATCATATTCGTTGAATTCGTGCATCATTTTCAGACTCTTTCTTCAGGTGACGCAAAAGACCATAAAGCGGATCATGATAAGTGTTAAAAAAAAAAAAAGAATAAATAAAAATCATTCTTCGAGCTAAATGTTTGTGGTTTACCTGGTAAATTTGTGAATGAGAATTATTATTCTCAGTTGATTCACGAGTCAAATTCGCTTCATTTCAATTTTTGCTCCTAAAATTGTAACACTGACCCAATTCTAACCAGGTAAATTCAGGGCAATTTGAGAAATATTTGGCTTCTGAACATTAAACAGCAGTGTAAAGCCACTGTAAACACTGGCCTTTACCCTTTTTTGTGTCTTCAACAGTCAGAAGGCATGCATACACAGACAGACAAGGCAAGTGTCTCCTTGCAACAAAACCCAGGTAAGAGTAACAGCAAGAAGCTGAGCAAAGTGCTGAATTGTAATATTTAAACATAAAAGAGTTCAGATATCAGAAGTACAATTGATGCTTCAACAGGACCCGACAGATGAGCAGCTTGTGGTTGAGCGTCCACGAAGGCAGATGCCACGGTAACGCGAGGAGCACGTCAGAGGTTTGTAATGGATCCTCCACGATGAGATGCCTTAATGGAATTTAACAGTCATCTGGTAATGAAAATACTGTCAGAAATGGCCAACCCCCCACAAATACTCAGTATTTAAGCAAGCATTGAATTGCTAAAGGGTTCAGACAGTGAGCCAAGGTTGCGTTTCTACCATTTATTTTTGTTGTCTTCCCCAACCAGCCCCTCGGAAATACCTCAAGGCTGCGTTAAAGGGATACCCCTGTTGAAAAAACCAGCATATGCTGGTTAGGTATGTTTTGACGCTGGGATGCTGGTTTATGCTGGTCCTTTTGCTGGTCATGTGCTGGCAAAGGACCAGCATAAACCAGCAAAAGGACCAGCATAAACCAGCAAAGGACCAGCATCCCAGCGTCAAAACATACCTAACCAGCATATGCTGTTTTTTTCAACAGGGACAATCACTATTTTCTGGAAGAATACCAAGAAAGTTTGGCCGCAAACGTGATGTTACCGTCACACTCATAACTAGCAATACTGGATTACTGTAGATACCTGAGGGATGACAAACGGCTCATATGAGGCACAATTTTACAAGATTTGTCACGTTTTTGTACAACCACACCTGATTCATGATTCGGGTTGTGATAAAGTAATATTTTTAAGTTAAAAGCATGAAATAGCGTAAAAACGTGCCAACACCGAAGCGCTCCCTCATCTCTGGAATGGCAAGTTCATCTGTATGGAGCTCTGTATATTATATAGTATATTAATACTGATACTGTCCAAGCCTCTAAACAGACGGTTATCTTCTTCCCATGGGCATCCAATTCATGTCCATTTCACGTGGTCTAGCGCATTGCACAAAATAAGGAGCCAAATAGTGCTATTTCAGACACTACAGCACTCTAAAAATAAGAAAACAAGGGGGGGAAAAAGGTGTACTGCAATAGGGATCTCTCGAAATCCAAGGCAGCTTTTGCATAAAATACTGACTGATTAAAGAAAGACAGACCAAAGGGACGGGACAAGAGGTTTAGCTGTGTGAAATCATAACCGGACTGATGTATCCCTATGGAAGACGAAAATAAATATAGTTTAGCATTAGGGCCTTCCATTTTAGTACATACAGGAAAAAAAAAATCCATTTAATTTTTTTCTAAACCTTCACTTCTCATTCTGGGAATGGGTGTTGGTTATCACGGTTCGGAAAGATCTCCCAAGAACCGTTTTTCCTTTCACACTCTGAGACCTTTGAGAAGGGAAGGGAGCTGGCAACCAATCCCATAATGCATTAGGCTACACAGGTAAGCATGGCTGAGTAGTACACCCATGTCCCTATAGTCCCATAAAAAATGAAAATCATGGGTATGCATTGTCCTTACTAGAGCACTTGGCCCACTACGGGGGAAAAAAAAAAGAAAACAAATCCGTTTCGTGGCATTTTACATTAGAGCAACTTGTTTTTAGAGCAAGCCAAAAAAACAAAACAAAACAAATAATCCAGACATTCTCTCTCTCTCAAAAGAGACCGAAAGATTAAGGAGAAAAAAAAGAGAAAAAAAATCTTGTTATTAGTGCCAGTTTTGCAGTTGCTGTTGATCATATTCTGCGATCAGTTTTTTTATATGTGCCAGTTTGTTGTGTAGGTATTCACAGCGGTTCTTCTCTTGGCTATAGTTTGGATTAGTCTGGGAGAAAAAAAAATGCAATCAGTATTTTGAACTATAAGCATTTTGGATGTTAAGTAACAAAAAAGTGGAAGAGACTGTCCGCTTACCTTTTTGATTTTGCGATACTCTTCAAGTATCTGATTGTGGATTGTCTGTGAAAAGAACAAACAGATCATTACAATGAAGTTCCTGCTCGAACACAGTAGTTTTAAATGTGTAATGAGATCTAAGACATGCAGAGTAGTCTGATATTTTTTACATGAACTCTTCAAATTGTGTTCGGTCTCTTCCTACAGGTTTATGGAAAGCTATAGGATCAATTTACCTCCTCAAATCATATAATAGAAAATGTAAATACATTTTATTTCTGCTGGCTCAGTTAAGCCAGATTTTTTCCCAAGATCTCCATTGCTCCCAATGAACATATGTATGCACACTGCATACATTTCCTCCCGTGTTTCTCCCTCTTTAATGGTTTTGTTAGACCATGTTGCTTATTTTTTCTAGCCAGATCTGGCGACACAGTTTTACAGCTATAATACAAGTAGTAGTTCTGTCAGCTGACGCCAGTGGGCCATCCTCATTATTGAGCCCGATTATGACTGCGTGTAGAAGAAATAAATGATCCTCATGACATTCTGCTCCGGTTATTTAACATTATTGCCTCTAATCAGTCGGTTGATTGTGTTGTTTATTTCATTATGCCCCAAGACTAGGTTGTTTTTCTTCTCTTACCTCTCTCATAGTAACATTTTCCAATTTATCAAAACAAGAAAACAACACTAGGACCCTGGATGAGTCAACTACATTCTTTAATTTCTTATTTTCCGGAGGAGGACACAACTACTGGGACCAGGCAGGTGCCGACAGCATATTAATAAAAAATTAGGAAGTTGTAATCAAATGTGTGGATGGATGTACTGTATTTTCGGTGTGGCCTTTTCAGCTAAGATACCTTATACTTATCTGTGCCTTGCTGGAGTTGTTTGAGCTCGGAGTCGAGTATAGTGAACTGTCGGGTGATGCTCTCTATCCGTGCGTGGAGGCCCCGGTACTCACTGTACTCTGCGTTGAAGTCGTTTTTGTAACTCTGACGTTGCTCTTGTGAGCTTATCATGGTGTACTTTCTGTTGAGGAAACCAAGCGAAAAAAAAACAACATCGTTTTATAAACGTCATAAAAGTTCAATGTTATTTTCTTTCAGTTATATAACACTTTTTTAATATATCTGATGCAAAAGGTAAGAGCAGAAAACTTGGCAATGTATAATGTACAAAGAGATGCTTACAATAAATAGTCTGCCGTCTCTGACGAAGATGCAGGAATACTGGAGCTATGGCACGTTCCGTTCAGACCTGAAAAGAAATATAAGGTGAATTCAAGGACAGAGTTTTATCCTGCAGACTGAGGGACAAGGACAGTGTGCAATGACGTCAGTCCAGAGAGATATACACCTGCTAGAAACAGAAGCTGAATAGGGGTTTTCAAAACGTGACATTTTCAAAAGATACTAGTTCAAAATTGACTAGTTGGTGGGTTGTTTGAACTAAGTGACCACACTGGCTGACTAGATCAGTTGCTGAAGTAATAATTGACTGGTTGGTGGGCTGTCTAAATGACTATTCAGCTTAATTACCTCACAAACCAAGTGTGTCAACTGTTGGACTACTAGTCAAATAGTTGGAGGATTGTCCAAATACCTATTCAACTAATCGACCTCACTAACACAATAGGTTGGCTGTCTGAATGACTATTCAACTAACTGACCTTACTAACAGTCTAGTCCAGCTGTTGGACTGCTAAATTGGTAGTTGTTGTGGTGGGCTGTCTAAACCAGTGTCTCCCAACCTTTTTTTTTTTTTAAGTTGCGGCACCCTACAAAATTAATTGTCACAATACTTGAATCTCTAACTTCGATATGATACTTTGAAAAGTATGGATATTCGGTACAGCAGGGAAGAACTGCAGAATATACGGTCATACAGATATATTTAATATTATAAAAAAAAAAATTGTCCATCATTGGTGGCAATCAGTAGGCTAATTTCTAATGAAGAGACCAATTTATATGACAGATTTTAATGTAGGCTTTTATTCATATGTAAACGTTGTTCAATTACCATTATAACTATCTCACAAATGTTTGCTCACTCAGTGTATTTTTGATTTTACAGTGGGGTAATTGTTGCAGTAGCACGAGATAGCTTGATTTCAAACTGAATTGAATAAAAAAATGACAAGTAAGCAGTCAGTAATAAAAACAGAAATTACTAATGATAGCACAAATAAAAAAATAACGATAGGCCTACAAATTAAATAAATTGCTTTTTAGTTTTTCAGGTAGGTTTAACAGTAGGGCTATTAAGAGATTTATTTATTTTTTTACCAATTATCCAAATAATGTTTAGTCCTAGAAAGCTATTATTATCAGAACACGTGAGCATAACAGCGGTTAGCAGATCAATGAATGAGAGGGCAGCGTTACCAGATTTGCCTATATATACACACCACACCATGTTACAGCACAGTAGGGCTTTTGCAAACAGAAACAATACTGTAGTACATAGATGTTTCCTGTCAGCTCGATTTTTGAGTGGACTTTGCGGTTCCGATGAGCATGAACGGTATATGAGTGGAGCGAGCGGAGCGCACATGCATAGAGCGGGATAATACGCAGAGCGTCACACCTACGTGAAAGTGAAACCTGAGCGGTGAACTAATTTTCGGCAGCCGGAATTTCGGTGCATCTTGGCGACATCAGAAATGGATATTATATAACAGATGCTTTTTTGAACATTTTAGCAATTTCAATTTTTTTTTTTTTTTACACAGCACCCCTGCTCTCAACAGACGGCATCCCAGTTGGGAAACGCTGATCTATACTACTATTCAAGTATTAGTCCCAACATCTAACCTAGTCATTGAGGATGAATCAACTTGTTAGTGGGTTGTCTGAACAATTATATTCAGCTAACTAACGGTGTTGGTTTTGGACTACTAATTGGTGGGGTGGGCTGTCTGAACTGCTATTCAAGTAATCATCCTCACCAATGACTAGGCTGGTTGTTGGACTATTCGACAAGTTAGTGGGTTGTCTGAATTATTACTCTGCTAATGACTTCACTAACCAAATGTGTCGGTCGTTGGACTATCTATATCTGATTTGTGGGCTGCCTGAACGACCATTTAATAAAACCTCAATTAGCAACCAAGTTGGTTGTTTACATAATGACTAGTTTTTTTTAGCTGTTAACTAAACATAAATGAAATGTAAAAACACTTTTGCTTCACAGATCTAATCGAGACGATAAACTAGATTTCAAGTGGGTCAAAAGTTCATCCGTTCACTACGGAGGTAGTTTCTGACCTCATAACCCTTGACATCATAAATGATTCAGAGAAACCAATCCGCACCTGGGCTCCTATCGCTCGTTGTGACATCACAGGGTTTCCTCTGATCCAAGCCACGGTCTTCGTCAACTCTCCTCTCCTTCTTCATGTCCCACTCTCGGTCCCTGTCTTTCTCCTTGGACTTGTCTTTGTCCTTGTGTTTTTTGGACTTCTTCTTTGACTTGCCATGCAGGGAGGGTTGAGCGCTCTGGGTCTGAGACCCGTCCAAGCTGCTGTGGGCCGGGGATGTGGAGCCCAGGCCTTCCTCTTGCGTTGTGGAGCGAGGGGCGAATGAAGGGGGCTGACTCAGTCTCTCCGCCACCGCCGCCTCCTGACTTTCACAGTCTCGGCCATTGGAGTCATTGCTGACATCCGAAAGGGGGTCGAAGGGTCGGGGGATCTCCAGCAGAGGGAAGTGGGAGCTCGACAACGTCTCTGCTGATTGAGAACTAGATGAGTCCTTCCCATTGGATGAGCTCAGTTTGCCATTGATGAGCCCTGTAGACTTACTGGCTAGATGTGATATTCTGGGTTTCTTATTGGCCAAAGGATCGATGAACTCTGCTGCAGGTCGTTTCTTTTGGATACAATCAATGATGGTACGTAAAATTGGGATGTTTAAACAGTCAAATATTAATTAGCAATAAAATGTTAGTTAATTCCAGCATTTTAGAGGCAGAGAAAGTGAAATTTAACATAAGTATCATTATACTTTGGTCAAAGATGAAGTAAAACTTCAGAATAACATGCACTAATGAATCGTGCACACTAAAATGATTTGATTTGTCAGCAAAACAATGCTGGTGTTAGTATGTGAGCGAGGGCTTCATCACGTCCACCAAAATGAAAAGTCAGAGGCGGAGGATTTTGATGAAATATTATGAAGAAATGTGGGAGCAGTTAAAGATTAACCCTCAATATTTCCCCATTATCCAAGCAGATCCATCATAATCAGCTTTGACGGGTCTAAAACGGGGCAAAAGGCTGACCTGAGAGGGCGGGCTGCTGTCTGGCTCTTTGTGCGGGCTGACCGGACTCTCCCCAGGCACAGGGCCACTGCTCTGAGGCTTACACAGTTTTCTGTGGAGAACGAAAGATGGAGAATCATCAATTTAAAAAGAGCCAAGGAACTGCTTCAGTGAGATCCAAAAAAAAACCTGACTAATCCAGAAAAGTGCTTACAGTGGTTACACAAATATTGTCCATAACTTGTCAGCAGCATTTTTTGACTGTTCTGACTAGTATTCATGAAGACCGAACCAGATGAAGCTGTTTGGAAATCGATATACCACTTAAAACAATATATACACACCAAAATATGTCGAGCACAAATACAAATTTGTCAAGTGGTATAAATTGTGTCGTTTGTCGCTATTAAGTGAAACACCACCACATGTTAGAGGATGGGCACTCAGATCACTTTAGGCAGTTTATTTTTCCATAATGTCAAATATGAAAGTGCACTTAAAAGGGATAGTTCAGCTGAAAATAAAAATAGTTCTGTTATCATTTACTCACCTTCAAGTCATTCCAACCTGTACGAGTTTCTTTCAGCCATTTATTTTTGAATAAACAAATTTTGAAGAATGTTGTTAACCAAACAGTTGATTTCTATAGTACGGAAAAAAAAAAATACTAGTATGGAAGTCAAATGGTGCCGTCAAATATTTAGTTACCAACATTCTTCAAAATGTTATCTTTTGTGTTCAGCAGAAGAAAGCAACTTATACAGGTTTAGAACAACCTGTGGGCGAGTAAATGAAGTCAGAACTTTCGTTTTTGGCAGAACTATCAACTTTAATACATTTAATGCCATCAAGTTTATAATGCTGCTTGAGGTTAGTATGTCAACAGGGGGCAGTATGACATGGGCAAATGCATTCCTATAGCAGGCCCCACCTCCATCAAGGGTACACGGACCAGGGACTATGCCTGAGAGTAGGAGGCATGAGTCGCTACGGTCTCTATCGAACTGTGTGCCCCCATGCACGGCTGGACCTTGGACCCATGCCACCCACACACATGGATCAGCATGTGCTGGAATAAGATTGCATCACTAACTTCCCGACTACACACAGCCACGGCTCTTTCGTGACAGCCTGGAGTCCGTGACCAGATGGGAAAGTGGGTG